CTGAGGCGCTCTCTGCATTCCTGAGAGTAGGCCTCCACCACTGATTGGCACTGCTCCCAGCCCTGCCTCAGTTGCCTGGCAACAACTCCGCGTCTCTAGCTGAGAATACACTATGGCAGGTGGCAGTCCAACAGCTAAGAGGATAGTGGTATACCGGAATGGAGACCCTTTCTCCCCAGGCCGCCAGCTGGTGGTGACTCAACGCCGCTTCCCCACCCTGGAGACCTTCTTCAGTGAGGTGACATCGGCTGTGCAGGCCCCACTGGCTGTGCGTGCCCTCTATACGCCTTGTCATGGCCACCCCGTCACTGACCTGGCTGATCTGCAGAACGGAGGGCAGTATGTGGCTGCTGGCTTCGAACAATTCCGCAAGCTCCAGTGAGTGGGGCTGGGGCTGGTCAAAGAGCCCAGGGAGGGAGGTAATAGCAATAGCAACATCATGTGTTCAGTATTTACTATGTGCATGCAGGCGCTTTATACGTTATCTCAATACAGCAACCCTATGTATGGGGTGGTCTTGTCCCCATTCTTTAGAAAGGGAAATCAAAACAGTGAAGTTAAGTAATAGTAATAAATAAATAGCGGAGCCATAGCTCAAGTCGAAGTCTGATACTGATATGTATGCCCATCACAGCCAGGACTAGCCTGTGGGTAGGAAAACGTTCTCCTGCATGCAGACTGAGCCCCTTTTTCCACAGCCACTTCCTGGCTGGATCCCTTACCAAACACACTAAATTCATCCATCACTCCTCCCTGCTGTGTTTAAGCATTCTGTGTTCTGCATTAGGCTGGGGTCAGCCTCCTTTGCAGGGTGGGGCTATGCCTTCCACAATGGGAGAAGAATTCGAGTATTTGAGCTTCCAACTCAGATCTGGCTTCCAGGTCCTACTCCATTCTCAGCTGAGGTTGCTCACTGTAACTGAAGAAGCAAAGGGTCAGGAACTAGACGGTCTTAGAATCTGGGCTCTATCATTTACTTTTGTGTTAGTTTAGGTCACTTAACTTTCTCTCAGTGTCATACAAAATGAGATAAAACCACCTGCCCTCATAAGTGAGAAAATTTCTGAGATACAGTTGGATGCTTAATGAACTAGTTTCTCTCAAGCTTTAATCTTATGGTTTGTGTCTGAGACCCCAGTCTGGATGTTCAGTCTGACCCAGGGCCCTAAGGCAGGTTCAAGTACCAGCAACTTTCTAGACTGTTCCCAATGGGAAAGGATGGATGGTGAGCTGGGCCCCAGTCCCGAACTCTGGCAGCTACCAGACTGTTGAGGTCCTAGGTTACTCAAGATGACCTGTGACCTACCTGTCCTTTCAGCTATTTACCTCCTGGAGGGAAGGAACCGGGTAGGAAAAGCAGCAGACTACCAGTAAGTCTTCCGCCCCTCCTGGGATTGCCCCCAATTTGGTCTGGGAAGCCAGGGACCCTGGAAATGGCAGGATCTGCCAGTGTCGTGGCAGCACTCCATACCCACTGACCTACCCCTAATCAAAGGCTTCAACTCTATTCTTACTTGGGGGTCTGAATTCTCAGGGTCCTCCTATGACTCAGCACCCGTGTGATGAGGGCCTTGGACGGCGGCTACCTGCAGGTTCCACCTGCTATATCCAGTAAGTGCTGGTGTCAAGAAGCAGAGGCAAAGAGTTTTGTTTCAGTGAAACCAAAAAAATGTGGGTAGGTTTGTTCCAGGAGCCCCTGGTTACTGGTGGGGATACAAAAAGTCTAACGTGCTTGATGGATGAAAATGGACCAATGTGCTGGTTCTTGGACCATCTTCTGGTCCTTATGCCACTGTTTTTCTTCTCACTTCTGGGGGTTCTGGGGGCCCTTCCCCTTACCAGGGTGCTGACCAATGTGCTGGTTCTTGGACCATCTTCTGGTCCCTATGCCACTTGTATGGAGTTCTGGGGGCCCTTCCCCTTACCAGGGTGCTCTTTGTCCCAGTGTGTTCAGGAATGGGGACCTGTTAAGTCCCCCATTTAGCCTGAAGCTGTCCCAGGCTGCCAGCGAGGACTGGGAAACAGTGTTGAAGCTCCTGACCAAAAAGGCCAAATTACAGAGCGGGGCTGTATGCAAGTAAGTATGGGGACTGGAGAAGCCCAAAATTCCCAAAGGGAGCCTCCTTACTGATTTCGGCTGTCCCTGAGGATGAAAAGGCAAAAAAAAGCATGTTTCCCCAAATGAGATTTCCTTCTATGCCACAGGGAGAAGCCCCTCCAGCCTAGCTTTCAGAGCCAGGGCAGAGCTGGTGATTGGCCCTGCTGCCCATAGGGCCAGCATTCAAAGGGTACCTTGGAATAGCTGTACTCACCCCCTCATAATCTGTAGAATATAAAGAGGCATCTTCTCCACCAGCCCTTATCCATTCACCTCTCTCCCCCAGACTCTGCACCCTGGAGGGGCTTCCACTGTCAGCAAGGGAGGCTCTGGTGAGTGGTCATTACTATGTGGCTGTTGGAGAGGAAGAGTTCAAGGCCCTCCCCTATGTGGAGCTGCTGGTGCCTAGCCCCTCACTCCCTAGGGGCTGCTGGTATGTATGTGTGAGGTGGGAGGAGTAGCAGATTAGAACAGAAGAAGCCACTTTGACTCCATGTCCTCTTCTGCCTCTAACAAGCCTTTTCTTTTTTTCACTGCAGGCATCCCCCAGACCCAAAGTCTGGGCTCTACAAGCAAAGGGTAGGTGATGTGAGGGGCCAGGGGATATGGGGGAAGGAAGGGGAGTGATTAGTTGACTCCTCCTCCAGCTTAGGCTCTGCCCTTATCTCGCTGCATCCTCTCAATCATCTTATGAAAGAGAGATTAGTCCCATTTTTTAGAGGAGAGACTGAAGTTCAATGGAGTGAAGTAATTTGTTCAGGGTGACACAGTTATTGACTGGCAGGGACCAGACTAGAACCTGGCCTGAAAGCTCGTTCATCCAGGTTCTATGAAGATCTTCAGGACTCTGACTTCCTGGACCTAATGCCTTCTTGCCAGGTTGGGTGCTGGGAGAGAGAACTGGCATATCTGGCATAACAGGGTCCAAGGGAGCAGATCAGCCCCCCATTTTATTCCAGGCCTGAGCTCTCCCATGAGATGAACCAGCAAGCATCAGGTGGGGAGATAGCGGGACAGGGCCTGGTTTCACTGGGCTTCTTGAGTGCCAAGTACCAGCTGCTCTGTCTCTAGATAAGGCAGCCTGATGGGAAGAGGGAGCAAGGAGGGAGGATGCAGGCTATGAAGATGGACAACATGTCCTCTCAAAGCTCCTACAGGCGCATTCAAGCCTGGACTGGAAGTAGAAAAGGTAAAAACAGCCAGTACCCGTGGCCCAAGCTCAGTATCCCCTCTACAGGCCCATGGCTACAGGGCACAGGCAAACCAGCCCTCTCCAAAGGAACCAAGCCAAAATGAGCCATCTGTTTTCTATGCCAGACCCCATCAGTCCATTCAGCCAAGAATCATGCTCCCTACTCTCTCATTTCCATCAGGTGAGGGGACCCCAAGACCCATGCCCTTCTCAGCCCCCTTCTAACAGGGACACAGGATAGTCCCTGCTGTTGTGGGGATGATCCATGGGGGCAAAATGCCCAGGTACAAAGTTGACTCTGACCTCAGCACAGCTGTCTCCTATTCCTCCATGTGCATATCCAATCTCAGCAGTGGAAATTGGAAGGGATGGGGATGGGGGCCAAAGGGCCTGCCTCTGAACTACCCTGCCATCTTCCGAGGTAATGAGGAATGTGGAGCAAGGCTCAGAGGAGGGGAAAGGGCTGGTGGAGGAGGTCAAGGAAAAGAATGCCTTGGCCTAGGCATCAGCTGAAGTTACCTTCATCAGGAGTCAAGGGAGTCTATGGGGCTCCGCATCCAAGGAAGGAGACAGCAGGGGCCCAGGAAGTAGCAGATGATGAAGACACCTGGACGGAGGAACCCTTGGATCAGGTGGGCTGGGGATGGAAGCCATATATTGGGACAGGAGTTCTGAGCAGGAAACTGTCAGCTCTGGGTCCCAGAAACAGTTCTTTTCCCTTGTGACTGTGAGCACATCTCCTAACATCTCAGAGCCTGACTTCCTACCTTGTTAAATGAGAGGGCCAATCCTAATTTCTAAAGTCTCTTGGCTGAGGGCTGTAGGCTGGATATGGGACACTAATGGCTCCATTCTACATGGCCTTCTACCTCCTCCAGAGGGCAGCACAGATAGTGGAAGAGGCCCTGTCCCTGGAAAATCAGCCTGGGCCTGAAGCAGCTATCTCAGCCTCAGCCCCTGCTCTGCCATCTTGAGAGCCAGCAGCTCCAGCCAGGAACTGGGGACCACCACTCTGCAGCCATTTTTTATCCTCAGCCTCCAGCAGCCTGTTCTAGAAGAACCAGCACCTCCCCTGGGCTTGCAGGGTATGACTCTCCCCAGATTCTCCCCTCAGACTCTTCCCGCTCTTCTCCTAAACCCACGGTCACAGAAGCCATTTCCTCTCTGGGGAAAGTAGCTCTAGCCACTGAGGCCATTTCCTTATGGGTTCTCTGGCTAGAGAAAGGAGTAGCCAACTGAGCTTGGGGGATAGACTTCAAACTTGGGAGTGGGTCTGTCACAATAAAAGAATATTTACGAACCTCCATCTATTAATTACAGATTTATTACAGGCTACGACTCACCAGGCATTGTGACACATGCTGAAGTTAGGCAGTGCTGGGGCTCATCAGTGTCCTCCTGTTTGAAAGGGGTGGGCAGTTGAAGATTTCCACCCACCTGATGGGTGGAACATGCAAGGCTAACAGACAGCTCATCTTCCCTACATCTGCCATTCGGATGTACCTTCTGCCACTCAGTTCCCCCCTCAATCAGCCAAGACTTTCTGACTGAGCCCTGGAGGCTTTCTGTTTGCATTATGGTTCAAAGGCTGTAGCTGGCCCTCTCAATGGAGCTGGGGTTCTGCAGTCCATTGACCTTGCTGCTGCAATAGTCCAGATCAGGTCATAGAACAGTGGCTGGGCTGGGGGCCTGACGTGACAGCAGGAAGGGAGCTGCTGGGGCAGAAAGATTGCTGAGCATGAGTGTGAAGTCTCTTCAGCTAAATCCTAGCAGGTGAATAGCACTTGAAAAGTTACAAAACCCTTTCACTCTTGTTCTTTTATTGTGATCCATGAGGTAGCTATTAGCCCCATAAGAGATGAAGAAGATGAGGCTCAGAGCGGGTAAGTGCTAGGTCCATCTGCTCACTCTCTGTACCTCACGCCCCAAGGGGCTTCCTGGAGACAACAGAGCTGGAGGTGGTGTTGGCCCACTCAAAGGGTAGACAACTGTCCCTGGGTCTTGTTCACTGAGCTTGTGATGCAGAGTGTAATTCCTGCCATGGTGAGCACCATGCCGGCGAATGCTCCTGGGATAATAGGTAGAAATTGAAGGCTTTGAGCCCAGCCATGCCAGGAGGAGCTGGTGCAGGGCTGGGCTGAGGGAAGGGCTCAGATGGGGTCTGACGGCCACAAAGAAGCAGGAGAGCTACAGAGGAAAGGGGCAGAATTTGGGAGGTCCTCTCCTTACCCACCCATGGGAAATGGCTCTGGGTGGGTAAGGCCCAAGTAGCTGCTTCCCGTACTTGTAGGGCCTGACTTACGTTTTCCACCAATATCTTCTCCAAGGACCTTCCCGACAATCAATGTGAAGATGATAGCCAGAGAGTTACTGATGGGTACAGCTAGGGTCAGATCTGAGTGATCAGAATAAAAAGAATCTCTGAGATGAAAAACAAAACAAAACAAAACAAAAAACGCCTTTCTAAGCACAAAACACTTTCATTTCATCAAGATAGCCTTTAAAAAAAAAAATATCTCATGGCCCCATTTCCCAGATGAAGTCATAGCAAAGCTCAGGATTCAAACCTAGGCCTCCTAACTCCAAATTCAGTGCTCCCTCAGGATTCCAGCATGAAGACAAGAACTACAAGGTCTGGGACTAAACTAGTTTGCTGATAAGAATGAAATCTTCACACTCAAGAGCTTTTGAGATCTCAAGGACATCTGGACAGATAGGCACCCAAAGCCCACAGGACGCAGCAGAACAAGTGCAATAACACTGAACACAGCCACCATTTATTAGGCTCATATTATGTGCTAGGTGCTGCTTCGTGTACATATCTAATCTTCACAACAACACTGCAAGAAGAACATTATCATCACTTTGCATAGATAAAGGAAACAAAGGCTCAAAAATAGAGGATTTAAACCGAGGTCTGCCTGTCTGCAAAGCTGTGCCCTTACTAAACTAAATGTACATAGATAAACCAAAACAGCAAGTAAAGTACATTTTGTTTCTGTCTCAGCTCAGGCTGGGGCCTTATGGAGTTAAAGAGATAAACAACGTCAGAGGTAGGAGGCCAGGTACCTGTTCAGAACAGGCACCACAGGGCTGGGCCTTTGGAAGAGGCCACCATAGCCCAGGATCTGTTCCTTAGTTTTGAAGCTCCAAGGAACTGACTCTGAATAAACAAACTTGAAAAATATCAATGGAGTTAACAACATTGTTAACTGAAAATGTATTACACTTAAGTTTTGTACACTTAAATTTTGTTAAGAGGGTATATTTCATGTTGTGTGTTCTTAACACATACATACTGCCCCCCTTCAAAAAAATAAAGAGCCCACAAATGGATATATCAGAAGCTGAGTCACTTGTTTACAAGATCCATAACTGCCAGGCTGCCTGGGATGCTCACATGGGCTCCTCAGCACATTCTTTCCCAGCACTCCCAGGCCTTACCTGCCTCAGGTAGAGGAGGAGAGAACTGTCCTGCTCCTACAAGGCTCCACCATGGCTGGTGTTACCCATCCAAGAAGCTGAAACAACTCCTACCTACTCAGAGCTGCTTCCTTAAGCTTACACACCTTTCATTGAATGCTGGCTGTGGCTGCTAAAGACTGACTGGTTTGCAGCAGTAGATGGAGTAAGGAAGCATCATGGTCAATAAAGGAGCAAGGGCACTGGAGTGAGGCAGATGTTGGTTTCTTGGTTAGGTCACTCAGACACTCTGAGCCTGTTTCTCACACATAAAACAATGATAGCAAGATAACATATTCTTAAAACAGGGTTGTTGCAAGATGAAATATGATAATGCATGTATAGTCTCTGGCTGAAGTAGGCTGCTTACTGGTGACCACTGTTCTGATTATAAGAATGGCTGGATATTAAAGGAGTAGGTGATGAGATAAGAGGATCCTAAAATTACAATTTGCTCAACACTTAGTAAATGGCTAACTGCAGTCAGCTGGTCAGAGGGCTCGGCATT